GGTGGAGCGGCGGGGTGAAGGGGGGGTTGGAGGGGTGAGATAAAGCACAGTGGGAGGGGAGTACCAGGGGGTTAGGGGCCAACACCCTCCCGGGTATCAACAGGGATACATGCATGCATGCATCCATCTATCCATTACATACATACACACCACACTCCACATGCCTCCCCCCGTCTTTCTCCCCCCCCCCCCGAGCTCACCTCAGGTCGGGCAAATGTGCTCCGGAGCCAGCCCGCCGCCCCCCCGTTGAGAACCTCCAGGGCGTACGTGGGCGACACGGTGGTGACGGCGTTGGAGTACACGATGCCGCCCTGCGCAGTAGTAGTAGTAGACAGCAGGTACGACATGTACGATTTCATGGCGAGTTATCAACGTAAACGACGCAAAACCTTATCATTCCTACATTTCCTACTTTTTTCGTACTTTACAATTGTTTTTACAACAATCAGGGTTGTAGAAAGTGATTAATTAAAAAGAGTGCAAGAACTGCATAAAACGCATAAAAGGAAGGTAAGCAAGGTAAGGATGTGTCTCTGCCCTTCCTTCCATTTCTCCCCCTCATCCCACCTCCCCCTATACACACCATACACACCTCCCCCTACACACACCATACACACCTCCCCCTACACACACCATACACACCTCCCCCCTCATGTCCCCACCTTCATAAGGTTGAGTCGCTCCGGGTTGTGCCCTATGGTCCGCTCGTCCAGGGCCTTATCGATGGATGCGAACAGCTCACCCGCCACACCAGTAAAGGAGAACTCGTCCTGGCGGCACTCGCCTGATGGGGGGACCGGGACCGGGGTGTGTGTGTGTGTGTTTGGTGTGTGGGGGGAAGACATGTGTATGTGTGTGTGTATGTGTGTGTGTGTGTGTGTGTGTGTGAGAGAGAGAGAGAGAGAGAGAGAGAGAGAGAGAGGAAAGACTAGCCACAGACGAGTAAAGCAGCTGCTGCGACCCGGGGTTGGGAGGGGGGGAGTGTGCGGGAACACGACGGGGGGTTCATCGAGTTGGAATGAGCGGTAGCAATGAGAGCGATGCGGGGGATGGGGAGGCCTGGGAGGCCGCGGCCCGGCCCGTGCCTGCCTCATACACACACGTGACGGCTTGAACGCGATCCTGACAACACCCTCCGGGGCCCACTCTGGAGCGCACCCACCGAGGCGGAATGCATTGCGGCGGGGATTACGACAACAATACGACAACTTTGAAAAAGGATTGGATCCAAGTGTCGTACTATAGCTTCTGTCCCCCGGGGAGGGTGCGCGCGGGTGGGAGCCCCTTCTCGGAGCTGAGTTGCCTAATTGGGATAAGTATCCATCACACACGTACGTACGATCTTCCGTACTCCCTTGCGCCGTATACCTGTGTTGTCCATGTTATGAATGGTGAGCACGATGCGTGTACGGGAGTACGACGCGCCGTTGTTGTACACCTCCCAGTACAGCATTGCAGCTGCTGCGGCATGCCAGTCGTGCAGCTGCAGGATGTTGGGGTGCTGGTTGCTCGCACGCAGATACTCCAGACACGCGCTGTGGTGCGTGGGGGTGGAGGGGGAGGGAGGAGGGGGAGGGATTGGGGGTGGGTGGGAGGAGGGGGTGGGAGGAGGGGAAAAGACGAACCGCTGGCGAGAATGGAGCGGATACCAAAGAGAAGTTAGACGGGTAATCGGGCAGGTGGGGAAGGAGGGAGAATTGAATGGATGATAATGATAACGATAATGGCAATGAGAATATGACGTACGTCGGGTCCTAGACCACTTGTAATCCTAGGAAGGCCCCCGAGTAGGTGTTTGCTACGACAGGCACGGGGGTGATGTTGTGTCCTGAGGTGTATGTATCGTATCGTATCGTATATCATAAATCATAAATCATAAATCATATATCATATATCATATATCATGTAACATATAACATATAAGCTCTCGTAGGGTTTTAGGGTTTTAGGGTTTTCTCTCTTGGAGGTTTTTTGTTGGCCTGTTAGGTATATCAGGAGCCCTCCCCTGCCGGGACTGCCTTAACCGATTTTGTGTTTGTTTGTTTGTTTTTTTCTCTTCGAATCCCGTTTTCGTTGGTGGTGTTTTGGGGGGTTGTTTCAGAGAGCCTTTGACTTTGCCCTAGCTGAGACTTGTGGACTCGCCCTAGCGAGACCTGAGAGCCCTTCGTGGTGTATTCAATGCAGCGCCATCCCCGGATGGAGGGGCTGCGGAGTGGCTGCGTAGAGTGTTGGCAGTCTGAGTCGGGGTCGGGAGCACACAAGACTAACCGACTTGTGCTGTGTGCTCTCCCGACCCTTGCGCTGTGTTTCGGCTTCGGCCCCCGGCTCTCGCGGCCCACAGTGTAATCTAAGTCATATATCACATCACATCACGGGATTCCTCCGACATCATCCGATCGGTGCGTTTTCCGTAGCACATACAGCCACATCTGATACGTACATACATACAAACTATTTAGAACGAGTAGTGGCAAAGCTGCGGGGGAGCAGGAAAATGTTTTCCGTACACAACCCCACCCACCCCACACTGATTCCACTGCATCTCTCGGCCCCCGGGGACCACCCGCAAACAAAACACACCTACCGGCAGAAGTACAGGTACGCCTCCATCTCATTGTACGATCCACCGTCTGGTCGGTGTACGGATTGTGTACGATTATGTACGATAAGTACGGGCGTATATTTTTTGGGATTCGGAAAGGGGGGCCGTCAAAAAGGGTGGTGAGGGGGGGTGGTCACTTCTCGGCGGTGGCACAGTCAGCTTATAGGAAGAAGACGAGTAAGCCTGTGATAGCCCTGCATACAGCCCCAATGCGCTATGTGTGGCTTCCCCGCTGCAGGCCAGGGCCGAGTGCACTCTCCAGTGCACCGCCAACACCGTGGCGGACCGCCACGGTGTTGGCGGACCGTGTTTTCGACATCTACTACAACGTGCTGGACGGCCCAAAACCCCCGCGTGCGTGGCCACCAACTTCGGCTACGAGCAGAATCCAGGGCACCTTCTTGCTCAGCTAAACATTAGAATGATGTGGCCATGTTTGCCTTGCCCAGCAGGCAAAGTTCCAGCGTTTGTGGATCTAGCCAACGGCTTCGTACGCTAAACGGGGGCATGCGCCTCCGCGCGGGCTTGCCCCTTCCGCCGAATCCATTCATCCATGCGGCGTTGCGGTACTCTACTGTCGTACAATAGATCCACGCACCCGCCACCTCCGTACGACAAACATACAGCATGCACCCTCTCCTCCCCTTCCCTCCCCTGGCCCCCTTTTTTTCCTCTCGCACTCCCACTCGCACTTCCACTCGCACTTCCACTCGCACTCCCACTCACAAATCCTGCCCCCTCGGAAGAGGTTGCAGTTGGTGCCGTCCGCAGGCCTCAGCAGGTACACGGCACAGCCCTGCACTAGGCCCCAATACACGGAGGTGCGCAGAGGGCCTGGGGGGGAGGGGCGTAAGAGGGTGCGTATGTTTGTGTTTGTATGTGTGTGTATCGTGGAGTGGTTTCATGGCGGGGTTTGGGCGAGTGGAGTGAGGGCGAAGAGAGGCCCCCGCCATGTCAGTGATCGACACAGGGGGGGGAGGGGGCTTACGGGTTAGGACGCGGTGCTCCCCTCCCTC